ACAAAGAGGGTCAGCGCCAAGATTCTTTAAATTCTATGGGTAAGAAAATGTTACAATGTAACCTACAAATCAGACCATCCAAAGATAACAGATGACAGATACATATCTGATGGATTTCTCGAATGCTATTGTTAAATATTTAAAGGAAAACTATCAGAGTGTACTGAGGTAAAAATCCAGCCCAAGATTTCTGCAGTTGCATTCACTTACATCATAGCCTCTCAGCACAGCAAGGTGGAAAGCCAGCAGCTGTAAAGGGATCACGCTGAGAATACCCTGCAAGCAGTCCACTGAGTGGGGCACCTTGATTGTTCTTTTTGTGTTCTTAATGGTCTCGGTATCTTCCTTATCACAAATCACCACTGGGCGTCCCTGGAAAAGAAAAACACACACAGAATCACTGGTAAGCAAAGGCAGGGCTGTAGCAAATTTTGTACTCTACAATTCGCATATGGCCTCAACTGACACAGACTTATTTAAACTCACAACCCTAAGTCAAATTGATCTCACTTACAGTTGGGGAAACAAGAGGCTTTGTGGGAGTCAGTAATTTGTTTACTCACACAACTAAGACATACCAGGCTCAGTACAGACGCCCCTTGACTAACCATGAGGTTATGTCCCGATAAACCATCGTAAATTAAAAATATTACATGCTGAAAATGCATTTAATATACCTACCCTACCAAGCATCATAGCTTAGCCTAGCCTACCTTAAACATGCTCGGAATACACATTCGCCTACAGTTAGGCAAAATCATCCAACACAAAGCCTATTTCACAATAAAGTGCTGAATATCTCGTGTAATTTCATATGTATACTGCTTTCGCACCATTGTTAAGTTGAAAAATTTTAAGTCAAACCTATCGTTAAGTCAGGAACCATTTGTACTTGAATCCAGGTCTGTCTGCCTTCCAAGTTCATAACTACTATGTTGTGACTAGGGATTAACATCTTTTGGGATTTATAAAGAAGGACAAATGATCTGAAGAAAACTCAGTTAAGCACAGCACCCCAAGTATTAATGTAAAATCTAGTTGTTGTTTTTTTAAATTATTATTTATGCCTATAGCACCTGGTCTTCCTAGGTGGTCTCCCATCCAAGTACTAACCAGGCCCAACCCTGCTTAGCTTCCAAGATCAGACATCAGGCTTGTTCAGGGTGGCATGGCCATAGAACATGGACCATGGCTCCACTGGGGCGCAAACCCAGGACCTTCTGCATGTAAAGCAGATGTGATAACTGCTACACTATGGACCCACATCCCAAAATCTAGTTCTTCTTAATATACAGCTGAAACTTATTGGATTTCATTAACCGATGTCACATTAAAAAAATTAATTAAAAAAATAAAATAAAATCTCATTTCTCTTGAAATATACATTTAAGAATATTAAATTAAAAGGCTGACTCATACACTAATTGAAGAGAACAGGATTTGGAGACCAAGACCTGTTCTGGTCTTGGTTCTGCCTCTTCGAGATCTACAAGCTGAGTCCTGTTGAAACTCTTGAGAATCTCAAATTCCGCATATGTAAAACTAAACATGTTTTGTAAGCTACCTACTGGGCACTGGTCTATCACTTTAAATATTACAAAGTGCAAATAAGTTTTAGTGACCCACGTCTTAGACTCCCGAGGTGTCCTCACAGCCGCCTCTGACTTACCTGCCTAGCAACCACCTGCTGAAGAGCATTCTGACACTTGGCATAAGTGTGATCTCTCATGATGATCATGATGACAGGCATCAATTTATCCACCAAAGCCAGAGGACCATGTTTCAATTCACCAGCGAGGATGCCTTCAGAGTGCATGTAAGTGATTTCTTTGATTTTCTAACAGGAAAGAACTAGATTAGTCTTCATTCTATTTTTCAAAAACCCATTCTTAAGTAAATATTACACAGAATATCTGATGGCTAAAGCCGCTATCTCTATCCAAAAGTATTAAAGGACCACTGATCTGTAAATATAATTAACATGCTAATAGATCATTATATCTATAAAAACAAGCTGCTGGAAGTTTTAAAACTCCACAGGACTTTTTCAGGATTTTAGATTATTGTGAACATACTCATATTTCTTTGTAACTATTCTACTTGCTTCATGTTTGACGTGAATTAAATTCCACACCTAAAGAACTTAGTCTCTATTTTACTCATATTTGGACAACAAATTAATCCAAGTTATTTGCTAAACCCAAACTACCATGCTAAATTGTACTCTTCTTTTTACTTTTGTGTTATCGATTAAATGTTACACTTTCTCAAGTTAACAAATCAAAATCCATAAAGACAAAGACACTTTAAAAAGTTCCACCTATTTCATTCAATCTACAAGTGCAACTATGTGCCAGGTCCATAAATCAACAGACTGAAATTATAAGTGAGAAGACTTACTAGTGCCCCTTCAAGACAAGTAGCATAATGGTAGCCACGTCCCATTATCAAGACCGACTTCTGATGATAAAGTTCTGTTGCCAGTTTCTGAATTTCATCATCCATGCTCAGTACCTCCTTTATCAAATCTGTTAAGAAATAACATTAAAAAAAATCTATGAAAAAAAGACAATAAACTGAACCAATTTAATAACAATAACATATTGGTAGAAACCAACAAATGTGTTTCTATTCTTCTGTGATATCAGTGAGGGATTTTTAAATCCAAAGGTGCAAAAGTAGAAAGATTTGTTGACTAAACAGCTACAAGCCACAGCTTCAACGATAAGAAGAGAATTTCACCCCCTACCGACGCCCTTAGACGACAAAAGTATAGTATGAGACTATCTTTGTACCAGGCAGTCGCTTCAACCCGAGTAGGATCTCTTTGCGTCTCTCTTGCATGGAGATCCTATCATCACACATCATAAGGGCAAACATCACCAGGGATACAAACTGGCTAGTGTAAGCCTGAAACACCACAAAAAAGCAGAAGAATTAGTTGCAGTTGCATTTTAAGAACATGCAATTTTTCATTTAAAAAAAGATGAAAATTAAAAATTCCCATTGGTTTTATAGATACATATTATCCATTAAAAAACAAAACAAAAAAACACAAAAAACCAGCATTAGTAACAGTGAACTTGAACCAGTTTTTAGGAAAACTGTCACTATTTCCTTTTTCTGAATTTGAACAAATGACTTAATCTTTATTTCCAGATACAAAATAAAAGTTCCTTACAGTGCACTGGACGCTCATGAAATCCCTAATACTCTTGAGAAAGGAAGATATGCTAAAGGAAGTGAGAAGAGAGGGAATCTGCGTGTGGGACCAAACTGTTTTTTATGTAAGTCAAAAGCAAGGGTTTGAAGGGCTCTCCTTAACATAGTTGCATTACTTTATTGAATTTTTTAAAAAATTGCTCTTTGATTTTTTTTCATTTTTGCTTATTGCTTTTTCTTCACTTCCACTTTTTTTTTTTTCCAAAGTTTGGCTAATTTTTTTTTTAAGTTCAACTGTATAAAAGTAAATAAAAATAAGAATAATCCTCAATCTTATAGAAATATCTACATTAATATGCTATTAAAAACATCTGTGAATACTACCTTCTAATCTGTTTTATTTTATATTATTGAGAAAATTATTCAATTTTATAACTTGCTTTTATTTTCAATTAACGTAACAAATACTTTCCCAAGACAGAATGCTTTCTTATTTACTAATGTGTATCTTTTTGCATTTCTTTAGGGCTCGAATGGCCCTTCTGTTAAAGGTACACAGTACTTACAAGGGAATCATGAGAATTAAATAAGTGTAAAGCATTCAGCATAATGTCTGACATATAGGCGAAAAACAAACTTTTTATTGATGAAAGCTGGAACTAAAAGACCCAGGTAGTTCAAAAATCAAAGATCTTCCTATAGAACTGTGACTATTTTAAAACTTGCAGTCATTCTGCCAAGACTACTTTCATTCCCATTAGCTGTATGTGAATTTAAGATATGACTGTTTTGTCACATTCTATAAAATACTGAGAATTATCTTTTTAACAAATTTTTACTATTTAACTGCTGGACAATGGACTCTTATTACTACTTTACCATACATATCTTAAATCTGAAAAATAAAATTGTAATTTTATTCATGCTTGTTAGGTATTTATGTCTTCTCTTCTGAGAATAAACTTCATTGTTCACTTGTTTTTCAATTTGGTTTTGTTTTTCTTTTTTAGTTGGCTTTATGAGGGTCTTTACTGTTATGTTTCAAATACTTTCTCCCAGTTTGGGTAACCTTTTATAATGATGTTCATTGACACAGAAGTTTTATTTTTTTAACTTTCATGTATTAAGTTTAGACAGTTCTTCCATTCTAACATCAATTAAGTATTATTAAATTTTCTTAATTATGTTGTTTTCATTGTCCCTTCTTATTTGACTTTATCTTCACATTTTTCTTTTTAGTCCATCTGAAATTTTAGAGCAAAGTATTAACTTCTGGTTTTTTTTATAAATATCTAATTTTCTCTCCATTTCACCCCACCCTTTCTCTACTGGTTTGTGACATTTTCCATAGTCCAAGTGCTTTGATGTACTAGAGTTTTGTTGCAAGACTACTGATTCTGTCCCACAGATCTATCATTTCTTTACAAAACTATCTTCCCATCCAGAAATATGGTATTTCATCAATTTGTGTTAGGAATTTAAAAGTCTATGAAGTTATATAGTTACCATCTCTTCAACAAATATTTATGGAGCACCTTACACATTTCTTGGTAAAGTTATTTTAAAGTATTTTTTATTAACTATTGAAAATAGAACCCTCCTCCAATCATACATACACATATCTTTTCTAAGTAGCTACTGGCAGTTCATAGAGAAATATTTTTGTATATATTTTATATAAAGCACGTCATATAAATTCTTATTCATTCTAAGTAGTCTGTACTTGATATTCTTAAGCTCTACAGGTAGTCAATAATAACAACTGCTATTAAGGAGAATTCTGTTTCTTCTTTTCCCATTGTTTTACTTATTTCTTCCTATTAAAGTAGAAGGAATTTCTAGACCTGGATAGCAAATACGTTTCATAGAGAGCCAATTCTAACTCACTTGTTGTCACAGTGAAACATCATGTTGAGATAGATTCTAAGGCCAACTTTTTTACTTCACAGTAATACAAATAAAATCCTAGGAAGTTTCCAGAAGAACAGCTAAGGCCCTCCAAGATGAAGGTCTTGAAGCTGTTTTGCAGTTCATTCATTTTTCTCTATTATTTGCCTCCTTCTGCTTTATTAAGTTGCTAAACTTTTTCTAATATTTTAAGTTAAATACTTAATTCATTTTCTTTTTTGAAGATAAAGCATTTAATGTCATGAATTTACCTTTAATTAATCACTTTGGCCACACTAAATTTTTACCCATATTGTTCACTGTCATTATTTTTTCTAGTTCTTTTTAAATAGTGGTTCTGATATCTCCTTAACTCATCTATTATTTAGAGGAACATTTTTATGTTTCAGGCGTTTGAGGTTTTTATTCACACTTTTATTATTAAATCACTAGGGTTATTATGGTGTGGTCAGCTACAGTGTTGTGTATGATTTTAACTTTAGGAAATTCTGGGGGGTTTTGTGGGTTATATGCTGATTCTCTATTACTCTTCTCTGGATAAGGGATCACTTCATTGGTGAATATTTTCCTGTCATAATGTGGATAATGAGCCTCCTGTATAATAAAATCATAGTCTGCCAATGCTCCTTACCTTTCCAATAGTTAAATGAGATTCCCTCATTTCTCTTACTGGACCGCCCTGTTATCAGCTACTCAGACATTCCCCGCCACTTACCTGTCCCTGTGCACCTACATGTTCCACCCACAGACTGGGATTTCTTTTTTCCCACAGCACTAAGGTGGATTTGAGTCCCTTGCCTCAGGTCTAATGAGCACATCTGTATTCTAAATTCCAGTCCCTCTTAGTTTACTTTTCAATAAAGTGATTAATCACAAAATATACTATCAGGACAGAGGGAGAGACCCAGTATATTGGACCCCTGGGATACCTAAACTATTTCCAATACAAACTGATGAGATCATGAGTATTCCAGTTTCTCCAGCCCATAACTCAAAATCTTATTCTACAAAGTAATGTTTCTTTATTTGGACTTAAAACATCTCAACACTGGGTTTCAAGTACAAAGATTAAACAGTAACTTTAATGCAGACATTTTCCCACTGCATTCCTATTACAGCTTAATTGCAACTTCATGTGTTTCGTTTCAACAATATGTACCAAAAAAACAATTATAAGAAAAATAAGTTATACTTGACATTTTGAATTTACTGAGGTTTGAAAGACTGTACCAGAAAAACGTTGACTCTGAACTTTTAAACTTGGTTTTACTTTTTAGTCAGCCAAAAATAAAGTTATATTGGTTTATTTTAAAAAATCAACAAAAGTCAGTACTTTGGTAAAATTCTACACACCTGTAATAACATAAAAATTGCCAAACCTACACATTTATACCCATCAATTCCTATAAAAATGTCAAACTGTCTATGGTCTGATATTTTGAAAAAGTTAGTAATATCTTTCTAACCCTGACAGTTTTTCAGGCAAATTAGGAATTTGCAATCAAGATCATAGAATTCTTGTGCTAGCTCCATCACAGGGCCCAGAGACCAGGATCAATGATAAACTTCTTTGATCACTCATTAACATATAAACTTATATTTACCATTAAGAAATAGTCTATGACTAAACATCTCAAAACTTTTCCAGATTGTCCCAGGTTGCTGAAGAAAACAAATTTACTTTAGAATCCAAGAAAAATTAAAGACAAAATTACCATACTTACTATAATTTTTAAGGGAGTCATTTTTTTAAAGAAATTAAAGTATGTATTATACTTTACTTTAAGAAAAAAGATACTTATTTTCTTATGCAAGATGTAACCATTGGGGAAAACTGGGTGAAGAATACATGGAATTCTCTAACTATCTTTGCAGCTTCCTATAAATCTGTAGTTATTTCAAAATAAAAAGGGAATTTAAAAAAAAAGAACTATTGATACGAATAACATGAATAAACCTCAAAAACCTCATGTTAAATGGAAGAAGCCAGACATCAAAGACATGTATTATACAATTCCATTAATAAGAAATTTCTGGAAAATGATATAACAAGAAAAGACAATAGTAACTGCCTGAGGCTGAATGGTAGGTGTGAGGATTGAAAATAAAGGGACACAGAAACTTTTTCGGGTGAGTTAAGTCTTATAAAACTGGATTGTGATGACAGTTACACAGCCAAATTTACTAAAACTATACACTTAAAAACTGATGTTATAGTATGAAAATTATACCTCAATAAAACCATAGATAAAAAGGAAAATGGTACAATCTAGGTGATGGGTATATGGGTATTAATGTAAAATTTTTTTAACTCTGCTGTATGATTGAAAATTATCATAATAAAATGTTGAACAAAATTAAAGCTTTCATAAACTATAGAATTAGATATCAAAAAAGTTGTATTTCTCCTAGCAATTGACAGTTCAAGAAAGATTTGATAAAAAACTAAGTCGAAAGCATCCATTCCGTTGATGGATGTACTTATACCATGCTGAAGCCCTTGCTTCACAATGTGTTGTAAACAATTCCCCATCCAAGCTGTCTTCTGGACACTTCCAAGAATCCACAAGCTGCTGCTTAGGGTGGCTGGTTATTTATTCAGGCACAGAATGGAAACCCAAGCACAAACATCTTACATGTTTTAATTAGCACATGGAGAAAATTCAGGTTTCAGCTTTCTGAAAATTACAGTGTTAGCAATATCAAAGTAACCAGGAAACAAAAGCCTCACTCAGAGTTTTTACGTAAGAATTACAAATTTTCCACACGAAAAAAATTCTCCACGAGGGTCTTTAAAAGGAAAAAATACTCAAACGTGGTTATACACAGGTTGACATCTTCCACGCATCTTTAATTAGAGTTAAGTCCACCAATATCTAAGCATCTTATCAGGAAATCAGCAAGAAATATTAAACTAAAGCAGAAAAACAGACAACCAAATTCTGTAATCATAAAGAGTAATACATCTGTGAAAATCACCTTTGCATTTATACAACTTTCTAAGATTCCTATTTTTATTATTATATCTATGCATACCTCAATTTCGAAGAGCAGAGTAGTCTCACTAGGCCTTAAAAAAAATGAAGCTGCTTTTAAATCTCCACCAATGAAACAGATACTGTCCTATAATACTAACTTTTATCCTTTTAAATGACCAAATTCTACACTAAAGGTATATTCCTCTTTATAAACTTTCAAAGGTAATATGTATATTTTGACTTATTAGAAATCATAACGATGTAAAGAAAAATGTCAAAAATTATTAGAATTAAACTGAATGTTTCTAACTTGTTATTTTTCTAAATCCCTACAATATGTAATAAAAAAAAAGGGAATGTTATACTTACCATGCATCCCACCGCAGCAGGAAGGAGGAGTGCAAGTGACGAAGGGAGAGTCATCAGACACCTTTTCAAAATGGACTTATGTTATATACATTTGTCCCTTTTATATTCTTAAAACGGGGGGATGGGAAGGGATAACGAGTGTTTTATCTATTATTGATCCTTAAGTCTTACAATAATTACAACAACTAGTAAACTATATGAGTTCTGTAAGTGCTGACCAATGAAGCACAAGATAGAGATTCATCTGTTTTCATCAACACTGTGATTCGGTAATCACATGAGCACCAAGCCAAGAATTTACCTTTGTGCTGGCCACGCCAATCTCGGGCCCAGCATTAATGTGAACTCCACAGTCTGTCTCCCTTGATATGGAACTGCCCACTGTGTTTGTGATCCCCACAGTTAAAGCTCCTCTCTCCTTGCAGTACCGAAGACCCATCAGGGTATCTGCTGTCTCACCTGTATAAAAAGGAAGACACAGAGTGGTTAACATATTCTGTTTCTTAGATGCAAAAACAGAAACTCGACTATACTTTGAACAATACCATTTGTTTCCAATAAAATTTAAAACACACACAATAATCAGTAAAACTCTAATAGAATCTTACTTTTTTGGATCATTTCTCCTTTCTCTTTGAAAATTCAGTTCTTTGAGTGTAACGCATTTTAATTTTACTAATTCACAAAGAATTACATAACATCAAAATAAATTTCTATTTGTCAAGTCATCTAGTCATCTGCAATACCATTTTATCTTTAAGTAGCAGTTTTTGCCAAGATAATTACTAGAAAAAATGACTTTCGTTTCCTTCGAGTCAGTTAGCATACCTGACTGACTAATGAAAAAGCAAACATCATCTCGAAAAACTGGCGTGTTTCTATCCAGGAAATCGCTGGCTAGTTCCACCATAACAGGCAACTCAGTCAGCTCTTCAAGAACTTGACGTGTCTGCAGAGAAGAGATGACCTGGTCAAACAATGTTACTTCAAATTCTCTTTTTCACTGGTCTTCTTTGGACTCAATGTATAGTTTTCACTTTTTCTGATTATAAAAACGATACCCATGCATTGTTAGAAAATATAAAAAATATAAAGTATAAAAAATAATCAAAACCCACTGCCCAGGAGATAAGCACTGTCAACACTTTAATACACGTCTATTTAGACAGATATTAATGTATGTACTATTATAAGCAAATACATCCACACATATCAAATGCTTTCAGAAGCTAAGTGGGAAAAGTACTGTACTGAGTTAGCTTGTTTCTTATCTCTAAGTTCCCAATTCCTTACCTTTAAATGGCAATTCATATAATAACAAGTCAGTGAGATTTCAAATAAGTAATAACAGATATATAAATACCCAGGGAAAAATTAAACACTTCAAAATACTATGTATTCATAAACAATACTGTTCCAAAACACAGTCAATAGATTTTAGAAATCTTGTTTAAGAAAACTCACTACTTGCAAATTCTGTAGAATGAAAAGTAAAGTAGGGACTAGCGTGCTTCTGCTCAAAGGGCACCCCAACATTCATTTTACTAAATTTCCATTCTAAATAAATTCCTTTTACTCTAAACATCAGAAGATTTTAAAATGGCAGAATAATTAACTTTTAGGCAGCAAAAATTTTAGGCTCTACAAGTTGCATAGATTTAGTTATTGTAATAACTGTGGAGACAACCTGCTTCTTGAGGCAAGTGGCCCCGCCATCTTGTACCCCCATCCCTGCATTCCTCCTTCGCAGCAGCGTACAACTGCAAAGGTTTCCTTACTTTATATCTCTTTAACTTCCCTGCCACAAACGTAAACCAAATTGTTTCGTCCTATAACTTTGGTTTGGCACTTTTTAACAATATTATCACATCATGTACAGAAAGTCTTCAAAGATAAAATGTTCCTATTTTTAACTAACCTTTTCCATTGGTGTATTTTATTTACTAATTATACATAAATAAGTTACTGACACTAAAATGCTAAATGTTTTCCCGCAAACAAATTTAAATCAAACTCCACCCCCACCAGTTTATAATACATTCCTCTCAAATTACGTTCTTCAAAATAAAAATAATATACCCCAATAAAGTAATCTCAAGATATATCTATGCTAATGAATGGCTTGTTCTTTCAGTGGAAGCAACTCTTTTTATATAGAACAACACAGTTTCTCCGTAAGAGACTAATTTAATGTTAAATTCCACGGCATGCCACTGTAAGAACCCAGAGACAATTAACATTTTGAAATGCAAGCTATACTTAGAATGATTCAGGATACAGAGGCAATACTAAAAAAGCAGCTATGAAAATGTGTCATTCAAGTTTGACTATCCCCCCCAAAAAAAAACAAAACAAAAAACTAGATAGAATATAATTAATGACATTATTTAATATGAAAAACCACGAGGGAATCTGTAATGTTTGTTAACTGTAGTAGTCTTGGCATCTACCAAACAAACCAACCACCATATATCTACTCAAATTTCAAAATTAGAAAATCTAACAGAGCATATAACTTCTGCCCCAAAATTCAGGCTTACATGAGATAAAACATTTAATCAATTTTTTTATTTCTGAATAAAGAGCTCTTTCAGTAATATATCTAAACCAACACTAAATTAGCCAATTCCTTAATTTACACTAATGTCTTTAATTCATTCTTTTTTTCCATGCTCAAAACCATCACTTTTTATTCCATTCAATACTGAAAAGACTTTCCTTTTTAGTAATTTTTGTTGGCAAGAGTTGCTTCAGAAAAGAGTAAAGCTGGCTGCTGAGATGTAAGGGCTGGGTGACCAGCTAGTTTCACTCGCTAGTTAAATGACTGGCTTCCACAACTGCATATAATATATATTTATGACGCAACAAATAAAAAATTACTATGACACGAACTTTGGGAATCATCCTAAAAGTAGCCACGGAATGTGTAAGGGCCTTCTGTACTTGTGGGGTTGAAATCAGCAGCACATAAACCGTCTCTTTATAAGAAAACTATACATAGATCTGATTTATTGAACTAAAAGACTGTTACATTCCTATGCTTCCGCAATGACAACCAACACACATCTCTGATACAGAATTTCAGCTTCCAAAATAATAATTTAAAAAACAAAGTCTGGCAAAAAGCAATTTCCACTCTGTAGAAATGTGCCTACCAAGTAAAATCCTGATGAGGTTGACACATGGTACCAGCCAGCAGTCTGGGGCAAGTGGACAACAAGAAGCAAAACCCAATGACTACTCTTGTAGAAGTTGGCATGTGCCCCAGACAACAAGGCCAGGATGGTACAAAACTTTCCCACTCTTGGCTTTCATGAAGCCAGCTGCAGGCAGTCTACCTATATATTGAAGGACCTTTCTAAAGCAGACCTTCCATTAATAAATAATTCCAAACAGCTGTTAGAATTTCTCCCCTCCACCTTCTTGATTTTTGTCATCGCAACATGAAAAAATAACATGTTTTAACAAAGGATAGTTTTAAACAGTGCGTTACTAGAGTACTACTTGTCTGCAGATATCTTCTAATATCCAACATAACACAATTAAAAGTTTAAGAAGGCACTTACTGCGACACCAGCATGATAACTTGTTCCACAAGCAATAAGAATCAGACGCCTGCACCTCTGGATCTCTTTAATGTGATCCTTCAAACCACCCAAATTCACTGAAACAGAAGTTCATGTATATAATTATTTAGGAAAGAACCATATGAAATAGGCAACAATCACTTTTCATGAGTGTCCACCACCAATCTGGGAAACAACACTGCTGTTTTAAAGAATTCATATTCCTCTTAGGAAGCATAGTTCTCTAAATTTTTGTAAAGAAAACTAAATAAATCACAACTTAACTGGTCTCCCCAAACTTGCAATGAACCCTCCCTACATTCCCACACAAGTACAGTATTTATCATACTCTAATTTGTTTGGTCATTTTTACAATCGTTCCTTCAGAGTAAAAGTTACAGAACAGATCAGGAACTGCTGATGTCTGGAGGTGGGGAAGGCGCTGACTACAAAAGGTACAGGAGCTGTTAGGGTGACAGAATTGTGCTACGTCTTCATTGCTGTGAGGTTAGCATTATGACTGTGTTGTGTCAGTTTGGTGAAACTCACTGAATTATACATTAAGACCAGAGAATTTTATTATTTATTAGATCTAATTATATATCGATAAGTCTGCTTGGGGAAAAAACGGTCCTGGTTATGTTCATTTCCCCTGTGGTACCCAGGACAGTGCTCTGAACACAATAGAAATCCATCCTCTTCTCAGTCTTCCCCATCACAGTAAACGCCTTTCCCATTCCCCTAATGTCAAAGGGGCCTCTAATTCTATCCCTCCTCCACGTTCACTCCATGACCAAGTCCTGGGAGCTCTACCTTCGAAGCGTGCCTCTGATGCCATCACCCTGGTCCAGCATCTCAACCCTGGCTGAGACCAACATTCTCCTATTCTCTCTTCTATTCTCCATCTCCTAGAGCCTGTTCTCCACACACAGCCAGAATGACCTTGTAGAGCGATTCTTTGAAAACATAAATCTGATCTCAAAACCCTCTAATGAGTCTGTCCTTCATCTCCTCTGTCTCTATAGCTATGTAAGTTTTCTTCTAAGGGTATCTTGTCTGTGAACCTTCTACACAAAGCTAGCTTTCTACTTGTGAGAAATTTTCATTCAACATTCATTTAATTATTGAAGTAATATTTCTTGAGTATCCACCAAGTGAATATATGGTCTGAGGCACTGTGTGGCTACCAGAGCTCTCAGACAGTTCAGAGTCTGGCTGAGAAGTCAGACGTGCACACCCAGGGCAGCATCCTCCTGCATCCGACCCACCACCAGCCTTGTCTACTTTGTCCCTGTTCTTCATCTCTCCACCCTTTTTTCTACCTTAATTGGCCATAACATGAAGCCAAAGTATATGTTTTTGCTTTCTTTTTAAATAATTTTAAGTTCTTCCTTTTAAATTTCAATACTGAGAGGGTATACATTTCTCTATATTAAAAAACTTAGAATTGATCTACCATATGATCCAGCAATCCCTCTACTGGGCATTTACCCCAAAGGCTTGAAAACCCATATCCAAAAAGATATTTATACACCGATGTTCACAGCAGCATTATTCACAGTGGCCAAGACATGGAAGCAACCAAAGTGTCCTGACAGATGACTGGACAAAGAAGCTGTGGTACATATATGCAATGGAATATTACTCAGCTATAAGAAGAGATGAAATACTGCCATTTGTGACAACATGGATGGACCTCGAGATAATCATGCGAAGTGAAATAACTCACATTTGTGACATGGATGGACCTCGAGATAATCATGGAAAGTGAAATAACTCGGACAGAAGAAGTTGAAAATCACATGATAACACTTATATGTGGATATAAATCCAAAAGCAACAAATGAAGAGGACAAACAGAGACTCATAGACATGGACTATAGACTAGTGGTTATTACCAGCGGGTAAGGGGTAGGGGAGGAAAACTCATAGACATGGACTATAGACTAGTGGTTACCAGCAGGTAAGGGGTGAGGGAGGAAAGGGAAGGTAGACGGGGAAAAGGGGGTCAAATATGTGGTGACAGAGAGAAATCTAACTATGGGAGGTGAACACACAGTGTAAATATATATATATGCCTTACTGTTAAAGTGTACGGCTGAAAGTTACTGGATTTCGTTAACCAATGCCACCATAAAAAATTTAATTAATTAATTTTTAAAAAATTAGTAAAGTGTAAAATAAAACAACAAAACCTTCACTGGCTTCCCAGATAACTTAGAACAGAATCCAAACCCCTTATTACAGCCTTTGAGTGTCCACATGCCCTGTCCCTGCTTAACTCTGACCTAATCTCCTAGCACTGCCCTTCTCACCCAGGCCACTCCAGCCAAACTGGCCTTCTGTCTGTTCCTGCACTACATCAAGCCCGTTTATGTACCTCTGCCCACGATGTTCTTCCACAGACCTTGGCACGTATTGAAAAGGTTTGAGAAGAAAGGAGCAACAACAGTAAGAGGCTGAGTCAGGGCTGTGCAAAAGCAAATCAGTTTGGAGATGACTCAGTATAAAAGCAGATGGACTATCAGAGAGACTTTATTTCAGACGATGACCAAGAATGGTGGGGAGGTAAGATGGTGAGATTAGCTGGTCACAAGTGTTTCCCTAAAATTAGTCCTAGGAAATCCTCTGCTGGCTGAGAGAAGTCTGAGGTAGTTCTGGAAAATGTTGCCCAAGGTCGAAACTGATGATGCTTTGGAGAGAAGCCTAATTCTGATAGGTCAGGCCACAACTACAGGAAGCAACAAGAGTGCCCAGAGGACAGAAGCGGGGATGGAGCACACTCAGGAACACCACTGAACACAGGAAGCTGGTCTGGCTCCGTAAATGACCAGTGATGTGACTTTTGGCAAGACACGCGAACTGACAGAGCCTCGATTTCCTTAACAACAAAGAAAGACAACAGCTATCCTGTTTACATTACAAAATTTCTACAAGGAACATATAACATAGATAAAAGTGCTTTTTAAAATCATGACTTCTCAAAGTTTGTCTCGTCTTCTTCCCTTATAAATCTTTCAACTGATCCGATTTCTATAAAAACCACAAATGGTATTTACTGCTATTCTCCCAGTTCCTTCAGCTCAACTATCTTCAACAACGCTCCTTTCCCCACACAGATGCAGGTCCTGGTTTATACTGCTCCTGCTTATCTCCTGGTCCCCACTACCCTCCCCCTCCCTGTCACTTTACCCCAGACATGACAACATCCTAACTGGCAACCAAATTTCAACCACTCACTCCTCCAGTGCTGGAGGACTGGTATCCAGTTCACCGCAGTAAAGCTATGATCACCCTTAGCTCCTAAGTTTCCTAAAAGCTCTACACTTTCTACAAAAGGAGGTACCCCAGGCACCCCCACCACATTGCACACCTGCATTCATGGCCCTCCCTGACAGCTCCTCTCATCTTCTTTCCCAGACTTACTGTTCTTTACTCTTCTTCAAGTACTAGGATGGGTAGACAAACTAGGCTACATATTATTCCATAAAGAGCTCGCTGGTTTTCCACTATATCCCCTTAGCTAATACTATTCTATCCCACTTCAATGGCTCTATCTCATCTTCACCTATTTAAATCTGCCAAATCCCTTAAACTCACAACTGCCCACTTCGAGCAGCCTTCCTGGTCCCAAAGCCCCTGCCCACAAACAGGTTCATTCTCTACCTTCTCTGAATTCAATATTAATCTTTAAATATTTCAACATTAAACTGCATTTCTAATGCCACATTTTACTTGTGCTTAATAATATATTCACTCCCCTTCTAGATTACAAGAACCTCAAGGAGGACATCATATCAGAAATAACTCCCCTTTAGTCCCTGATACGTTCGGCATGGTACTCTGCACACAGATGTTCAATTCATAATTCAGCCTCCAAT